TGTATCCCTCTCACAAAATATAGCTCCATAAATACATGTTGAATAAATAACTGGCAACTGATCTCCCTGGTTATATTTGTTCTCCTTTGACGCCTTTCCACATAGCAACCAGAGATTTTTGGTTTTGTTTTTGTTTTTGTGGTTCTGCAGATCAAACCTAGACTTTGTGAATGCCTGGCAAGTCCTCTATCACTGAGCTAAGCCCCAGCCCCAGAGTAAGCTTTTAAAAATATGTATGGTAGTATTTCAGTCCCAGCTCCAGACCCACCCTGGCTTACCTTTGTACTAGAACTCCTTGCTGCAGCCTGTGTGAAAGAAAGCCCATCCATTATCCAGCCAGCTGTGGCTCTCCAAATGCACCTAATACTCCAGTTTCTTCCTTTTTCTTCCTCATATGTTCCAAGTGTCTTTCAACTGCAAGTCCTTTGTACTTCCTATTTCCTCTGACTGCAGTGCTTTTTCTCAGGCTCTTGGCACACTGGTTTCTTCTCAGTCTCAGCGTCAGCTAAATTGTCACCTCCTTGAACAAGCCTTCCTAGACCACTGACACCTCTTCCTGCTTAAAGACATCCTCCTCCATTACATTGTACAAAAGTTCCTCATTTAACAACCTACCTGTTTAATGACTGTCCAGACTTATAACCAAGACTCCCTGATCGGACTTAGGAGCCGCATTCAGACTTACAGCGCAGGAATGTGAGCAGCAGTGCAGCCACTTCTTCTGTATTTGGTTCTATGCACAAAAACTCTGAATTTCTTCTTCTTCTTTTTTTTTTTTTGGTACTGGAGATCAAACTTGGGTCCTTTCACTTGTGCAGCAGGCGGTGAAACCACTGAGCTAAATCCCTGGCCCAATTTTTTGTTTATTTGTTTGTTTGTTTGTTTTTTGGTACCGGGGATCGAACTTGGGTCCTTACACTTGCGCAGCAGGCGGCGAAACCACTGAGCTAAATCCCTGGCCCCAAATTTCTTGGTTAGTATACTCAAATGTGAACACAGCTGTGTTAGAACAAGAGGCTATGGATCTAAACGTTGAATGGCTCACAAAAGTGAAACAGCAAATGATTGGACGTTTACAATGCTATCATGAAGTTTATGAGGTAAAAAAGAAAATGACAGACCACACTAACAGGATTCTTCTGGAAAGCCACACCCAGGATCACTACTAGTTCGTCCATATCTACTTCATCATCTCCCTTACCCCGGCCTTCTATATCTCCTGCTCATAATTCTTTTTTCTTTTCTTTTTTTTTTTTTTTTTTTGCGGAACTGGAGATCAAACTCAGGACCTTGTGCTTGAGAGGCAGGCATGGCAACATTGAGCTAAATCTCCGGCATGATCATAATTCTGATAATGACACTGATGAGGATTTTGAAGGATTCAAAGACTAAAATATTATCTTGAATGTCTTTATTTTTGTATAGTTCTGCACATCTTGGTTATAGAGCCTCAGTATCTTTGTTTGTAGTGTACCTTATTTATACAGTACTGTAATTTTTGCTGATTGTATTGCTGTGGCAGCTTGTGTGTAGATGTCTCCCCAACATCTTAGGCGGTAATAGGTAGGGATTTTCAGAGGTGGCTGGATCTAGGGTGTGTGATGCTGGGCTCAAGGGTGCCCCACCCTGGAAATGGTGGGTAGCCTGGAAGACATACAAGAGGAGGGCAGGCTGTGGCTTCTGCTGCTGCTATTTACTGCCTTCTTCCTGCCCTGCCACACCATGAACTGTTTCTCCTCTGCGATACCCCTCTGCCATGTGCCACCCTGCCTTGGAGCCAGCCAATCATGGACTGAAACATCTCCCAACTGAGCTAAAATAAACCTTCCCTCTCTTAACCTCAGGTGTTGGGTATTTTTGTCTCAGCAGCACAAAACGTAACTAAGGCAACCGTAAAGTTCAGTACTGTAGTTTCATGTTCTTTTGTACATTACAACGCAGCATGTAGGAGTTCAGCAAATAAAAGCAAAGTCATCAAGCTAGAGTTTCCTTTGACCATTTCTTTGTTCTGAATATTGTAGCTTTGCACAGTGGCAGTATCATAGCCAGTGAGGTTTATACAAGGTTTGATTATTGTTAACTGAATATTGTAATGTACAATTCCTCATTTAACAACCAATTTATTTAACAACCTAGTCTCAGGAACCTTCAACAAAGAGTGTCTGTATTACCATCACCTCGTTTACATCTTTCAGTGTGTTTATCACTCTCTGAAGTTACCATATTTTGTTCATTACTGATCTCAAAGACCTACAGTATTATCTGGCATATATTAAGTGCCCTGCAAAAAATCTGTTGTGTGAATATATGCAAAACTATTTCCCCCATATTTTTATTTTTCTATTTTTTTTGGTACTGGGGATTGAACTGAGGACCTGGCACTTGTGAAGCAGGCACTGGAACCACTGAGCTAAATCCCTGGCCCTCCCCATATTTTTAGAGAAATTCTCTTCTACCTTATATTTTCATCTGTTCTTTCATTTATAAAATGGTGTTAAGTAAATCCAAGTAAAATCAGTTCAAGCTAAATAGAAATTTGGAATGTCTTTGGTAATAAAGAAGAATCCGGGACCCGCAACTGATTTAGCCCTGCTGCGGCATCTTTGTACCTTGCACCCCAGGCACCAGCCTGCGGGGTGGGGTCTCAGTGAGGGCTCCCCGGGCAGCTACCCCTTCACCTCCTAGTGGTAATCCATCTTGCCTGGCTCACTTGTTCTCTTTCCCATGCTTACCATTCACTAACATACTGGATAATTTACTTATAATTATTGTTTGTTGCCTGTCTGACACCCCATCCCTGCACTGTATGACACTGCTGTGAGTTTCATGAAGGCAAGAATCCTGTTCATTTTTTCGGTACTGAATGAGTTCTTGATCCATTCTGAAATGAATGAAAGAATGTCTAAAGGAGAGAAAGAAGTCTGGGAAGGCCCAGCATCCTTTCCCATCCTCCCATCCTTCCCAAATTAAAGTCATCCCCTCCTTTGCAGTCTGTATCTCAAAGCACTACATACAGTCTCCCTGAGATATGAGTGTTTACTGCTTTGTTCATCCTCAAAATGATTTCACATGTAAATTTATAAAGCCATCCTTCTGTGTATCTGTTGTTGTTTTCTACTGAGATCCATTGTTCACCCCGAGTATGTATAAGGATGAATTTCGCTTAATATTTGTGGCATCATGATAGGATAAAATCTGATGGGGCCAGAGATTTAGCTCAGTGGTTTCGCCACCTGCTGCACAAGTGCAAGGACCTGAGTTCGATCCCCAGTACCAAAAAAAGAAAAATCTGATGAAGTTAAGCTCCATCCTGTGGAGGCAATTTTCTCTATGAAGACTACCTTTCCTCTTTCCTAAAGAGAAGTCTAGAAGTCATTTAAATGATGAAGAACACTAAGCACTTAATTTATCCTCATGAAAGTACTGGAAGAAAAGGAAAACAGCACAAGAACCACAACTATTATACCTTTCTAGGTGAACGCTTCAAAAATCTTCCCAATTAGAAGCTATACATTTTTTTTTTGGTAGCGGAGATCAAACTCGGGTCCTTGTGCTTGCAAGGCAAGCGACAGAACCACTAAGCTAAATCCCCAGCCCAAGAAGCTATACATTTTTAATTTCAAATTTTCTTAAGACTATGAAATTAAAATATTCTGTTCATAGTCATTTTTTCTTGTTTTTTTTTTGTTTTTTGTTTGGTATTGGAGATCGAACTCGGGTCCTTGTGCTTGCGCAGCAGGCGGCAAAACCACTGAGCTAAATCCCCAGCCCCATAGTCACTTTTTCTTACAAGCCTAATCATCCTCATGAAATCACCCCATCCCAATTCTTCAAAAGATCAACAGGGCTGCCGGGATACAGGTCATCGGTAGATTGTGTGCTTAGCATGCCTGAGGCCCTAGGTTGGATCCTCTACACCAAAATAAAAGGAAAACAGCAGCAAAGGGTAATTTTTCTTCAGAAAATACAGTTAAACTGTGCATGTTGGCACTCTGGGAGGCGGAGGCAGAAGGATTGCAAGTTTGAGAGCCCAGCCTGGGCAGTTCAGCAACTTAGCAAAACCCTGTCTCAAAATAAAAATAGAAAGGGGGCTGGGGATGCAGCTCAGCACAAAGCTGTGGACTCAATCCTCAGTACAACAACAAATACAATGAACTGGGGGCTGGGGTCATAGCTCAGCCATACTGCCTCATCTAGCAGGGTCAAGGCCCTAGGTTCTATCCCCAGCATCTAAAATCAAAATAAAACAAAACACTACTCGTCTTTGAAACAAATGTGCTAGAGAAATTACTCTCTAGTTGCGCTTTAAATTGCTTGGAGGTAGTTATATATGAGTCTTTATATAAACTTGTATCTCTCTCATTTAAAAGAAAATGAAGGAAAGGAATTAGCCCAATAATTATTTAAAATACTTGATGCAACTGTTCCTGTGAATTAATCCGGGCACTTGGAAGACAATTACACTCAGTGTTCATAACATTGCCAACCTTTTCCAGTATGCTGCACTCCAAATACGATTGTGTTCTCATTGACAACATTCACTATACATATGCATATGAAAACCAGGCATTTTCATCAGAATTACCGTAATAGCATTAAGAGATTATTATTTTTTCCAATTTCCTTGGAAGAAAATTTACTTAAATTAGATTATTTATTACTTGACTGCTCTCCTATCTTGCCTGTATGTTTAGGTAACTGGAGTCCATGAAAGTAGAAACTTCAGAATATAAATCATGATTTTATACGTTAATGATTTCAAATAAAAGAAGAGTGCTACGTTTGTGCATCACTTCTTTTGAGAAAGTTAAATCTGTGTTCTGCTTAGAAGAGATAACACTTTTTGTCCCTGTAGGTGGCCCCCCTGGTGTAGCCATTAGTTGCTAATTACTTGCAAACAAATAAACAATTAACTCCTTAAGCTGCTGGCTGGGTGAGTGTTCATTGACATGCTAAAACTTTCTAAAACAGGATTTTAATTAGTGACGTTCTAAATCCAGCCCCCTTGTCAGCAGAGCTATAAGGTGAAGTCGGGAAGAGCCCACCCCTGTGCACGTGGGGCAGAGCCAGGGGAAAGGCCAGAGCTCTCCCTGTGCAGCCTGGAAAGGATGTCTCCCAGCCTTCAGGAAGGTGCGCGGCTTAGGGAGAGCAAACCCTCACCCTGCTCCTTTTCAATCGAGAGCATCTTAGGGCTGGACCAGAAGAAAGACTGTGTCCCGTCACCGAAACCTCACAGGCCCTGGGCAGATACCTGCAGCTCCTCAGGTATGCCAGTACTTCACTTTTTTTAAACTCTTTTAAAATTTCACTTGAATTTCTAGTTTGTTCTTTGTTTCACAATGCATGGAGTTAGCGAGAAACTGGTTTCCTTCAGTTACGTAACTAGGACTGATCAGCATCTAGGACTTGTAATACGTCCTGTGGGAAATAAAAAGACTACCTGCCTTGGGTCTGAGTGGAAATGCCAAGAGCCTATATTTACTTTAAAAAGTTCTCTGTGTGTATTTGACACACCCCCAAAATGAAAATACAATCAAAACAAAATGTTTTCCATACCAAGGCAGAATTTTCATTTTTTTGGCTTGATGAGGAGAGAGTTCTTTTGTGAAACCCAAAAGGATTCCAGTAGAAAAATTAATGAAAAGTTACTGAAATTACTTCTTACAGAAATTTGCAGGACATAGGATTGGCTCTCAGAGGTCAGGTTTATTTTCCTGATTTCAGGGAAAGATGGTGACCTCTGTCTACCTGTCCCGAGTCTTCCTGGTGGCATCTCATTTCCTTGCACAGTGGATCACCCAGTGACAGAAGAAAGAGCTTTGCAATATGAACAGATCTTTTCAACCTCGGAAAGACTGTCTTTGAAAAGAGAGATGAGTTGGTATAGAGGACGAAGACCAAGAACTGCCTTTACTCAAAACCAGGTGGGAAGGGTTTTTGTCCGACAGTGATAATACTGAGGCTTTAACTGATGTTGGGAGCAAAAGCCCATTCACTTTGGGATTGCCGTTCAGAAGCCATGATAATGAAACAACCGACTGTCATATTTTAACAGTTTCTGGATAATCACTTAAAAGGAATTTAGATTAATTGTCAAGGTTTAAATACAGTTGTTTACTTATATAAATTGAAGTCCATTTTTGGTGACATATGACATCAACATTTTAACATTTTTTAAAATTCTAGATTGAAGTATTGGAAAATGTCTTTAAAGTAAACTGCTATCCTGGCATTGATATCCGAGAAGATTTAGCTCAAAAATTGAATCTAGAGGAAGACAGAATCCAGGTAATTTTCAAATTTAGTTGTTACTCATGATGATTGAAATGTTAAGAATAATAACAAAAGAATGTTTCTGAGACCTATTTATTTTTGCTTAATTTTAGATTTGGTTCCAAAATCGGCGAGCAAAGCTGAAAAGGTCCCACAGAGAATCACAGTTTTTAATGGCAAAAAAAAATTTCAACACAAATCTCATGGAATAGATAAGAGGAAAACTAAACAAGTGAAACTATCTTTCAGTTGCAGAATGAATCAATGGAAATATCAAGTGTTTAAATGTGATGTTTTCTTTCTTGCATTTACTCCAAATATTGTCATTTTTTCTGAAAATATATTGTAAATAATTATGATTATAGCATGATACATATTATATCTGGGCACTTTTAATTACATGAAAGACCTTTCCTATATATTTTAATAAACATTTTCAGAAAAGGCAACTATTTTTTAAGTAAACAAAGTTAATCTAATAAATCAATATGCTAAAATCAGTAAACTCATGACTTTTCCACAAGCTGAATTCCATTTACAAAGTACTCCAAATAAAATAATATGAAAAAAAAGAGTACAATTTACTTCAGTTAGTTTCCTTCAAGCACATTTTCAAATACGATTATGTTTAACTGTGTTTAACCATATTATAGAATATGATTTATTTGTGAATCCTGTTTTTATTGATTTATGCAGTAAATCATCATATAGCAAAACAAAGCCTTCTGGCAAGCCAGTTTCTAGGGTTTTTTGTGGTTTTTTTAAGGGAAATCATGCCAAAATAGCAATATAAAACATCACTTGTCATACTCACAGCATTGCTAGTGCACTACACAAAAAGAATTAAGCTGCAAATAAATGCAAACTTTTAAAATAGTTTTCTAGTTCATTTAATGTGTTCTACTTTCATTCCTTTAAGTGGTGATGGCCACTGGCTTATATCTATTTACAATTTAATGATTTCTAACCATCTATACATTTTGTTATAGTATTATACTGACTGAGAAGGTGGGATAAAACTGACCTGCCTTTCATACGTGCTCTGGGAATAATCATGCCAATTTCTAAGCTAAGAAGTACCTGTTTTCGTTTTCCACTTCCCCAGTGTACCTGCCACTGAAAAATGGGAGGAGAAGATTTGTAGCAACTGAGGTGCCTTCACTGGTTTCCAGTTAATGAAAGAACTAAGTGGTGGGGGAATTTTTTTTAAATGGTAGCATGAAGACTGTGCTTCTGCCCACTGCAGGCTTTGTTCATTTGAACTGAATTCCCCTTTGCCTCCCTTTTCTTTCCTATTCCTGTTTCTCATCTCTCCCGGTGATTATCAGAGTGGAAGGTTATTGTTGAATTATTGAATCTATAAACACTATAATTTTTCACTTTTTTTAATTAGAGTATGCCTATTATTTCTAAGAAAAGCAGCATGACTCAGATTGTAGAGCTTTTTTTTTTTTTTTTGGTACTGGGATCGAACTCAGGACCTTGCGCTTGTGAGGCAGGCAGCGGCACCACTGAGCTAAATCCCCTGCTGACTTTAGAGCTTTTTAAAATCCCTTACTGAGAACACATTTTAGGGTGGAGAGCTGTGTCCCAACAGTTGGTCAGTAATAAACTGCTTATTCTGGTTCACTGTTGCTGAGATAGAGAGGAAGATGGCAGGATAAGAAGGGCAGCAGGGTAGTTAACAGGAAGAGCAGAGGTGTTAAACGTCATCCAAGGAAGACTGAGTTACTTTTCCAGTACAAAGAACTGCTTCCATTAATGTAACAGTCGGAGAACTCTTTATGAACTATCTTGGTCAAAATTTGCCCAGTAGGAGCTTTCTTTGCTTTTCATTAGATTGCTATGAAATTATGTTAACTTGGAGGACTACAAGTCACCAGGAGTAGGCTTTGGGAGAGTGAGTTGGAGGGGAAAGGTCATGTGGTGTAAACTTTCATTTTAATCCCAAAAGTCATATTTACATGCTATAAACAACTTAAGCATATAGAAGTAAAATAAAATCTCCCACAACCCTCATCCCTCAGTGATAACCACCCTTAATATTTGCGTAATCTTTTTGTATACACAACAGCATCTGTGTGTACATACACATGCATACGTATTTGTTGGTTTTGTTATTTTTTTTTAATGTGATGACCCTTTATAATCTGTTCTGTATCTTTCCAATATCTTGTCAGGCCAGAATTAGAGCTCTTTCTCCTTAATATCTGCTGAATTGAAGATAAGATTTTAAATCTTGTACAGACCAAGCAACTGTTCCACAATCCTAGTATTAATTTAAGCACTTTCAAGTAGTACTTTTCACAAAATGGGGTTTTCAAAAAGAAATGTTTGTCTAGAATGTAGAATGTAGAATCTAGAATTAAATTTAACTCCTAGCCCTCGCAATCTGAGGAATGTAAAGATTCTAGATAAAATTATAGAATCTAGGAAAAAAATGAAACAGCATCACAGACATTGATCCGCAAGTAATAGTTCACCTGATTTTTTAAATTATAGAAACTGATCACACCTATAAAAAAAGTGGTGAGCAAGTTCATAATATATGAGAATATTCAAGAAGCAAGATAATGCACAAGATCACCAGTATATTTTGCCTAAAGCAATTTTCAAAAGACTAAAAAATAAAGGCTGATCTTGTTAAAGAAAATAATGAATCAGTAACAATTTTGGAATTATAATTGCTAGTAATCTGGGGAGAATATAATGATTTTCAGGGAAAAACTAGCCTTTAACTTTGAGAAAAAAATCAAGCAAAATGAAAATGGAAATGAAAACCTAAGCTAGAATTCTCTTTCCCTCAAAACACACAAGCTCTAATCCACAGTTTATCTCTGCTCCTGGTAATTCCAGGCCTTTGTCTCCATTAATGCCCAAGACAAGGTGAACAGCAGTAACAAATCAAACTAATGCAGTCAAGCTAATACCTAGAGCGTCTCTATTATCTGCCAACAGCCTAAATAAGGTTGTTTGGTCTCCCATAATGGCATTTGTCTCTTGTGAAGCCAGCCAGACAAAGCCCATCACTAAAGAGTGCTGGCGGAAACAATGGCTGTGGGTGCTGGTGGTCAACTTTTGAGTTAATCACTGGTAATAGCCGCTTTCACCGCATGCACCTTATCACACATCACATGAGTGGCATAAATCTCCCATTACCAAATGGAACACAGCACCATCAACCTGGCTCTCATACCCATTTCTAAAGACACAGAGGCACGACTAGTCTGTTGACTTGATGCAAAACCCAATCACTATGACAAACAAGGACTTGGTGTTTCCATTTCATCGACCCCCATAGGAATAAAAAAAATCACCATGTGTCTTTAGCTAAATTCATTTCTCATTTTTACTCTCTTGTCTCCTCTGTTGCAACCCCCACCCCCAACAGCAGTCCAAGCAGCTGGTTTTTTATTAGCATATGTTTGTGATACATAACAAATACATTCCGCATGGGGAATTGGTACATACACATATCCCATCTTAATCCTTTTTACTTCCCATTTCCCTCCCTTCCCTCTTGTCTCCCCAATCCCCAGATTCCATCTTCATCTCCGCAAAGTCTACCTCTCTGTTTCCTGTCGTCTGTCTTTTATTTTGCAAAGCACTTCTTAGTGGCTGTCATCACTCCATTCTCTATTAGACTCACCTCTTCCCATTTTCCTCTCTTATTTTCTTATTTTCACCTTTTTTCTTTTCCCCTGCTTCTCAGCCTTGACAAGCGTGTTGGTATCAAAAGGCTTTACTGCATCCCACAGATGAACCTCCAAACTAAAAATGTTATTGTATACCTTCTGTTGTAAAATCACCCACTTTTAGGAACTTGTCTGTTTTCTTTCTCCAGGTGTCCTTGGATGGCCCAGGGAGATGTCTACTTTATTTAGCACATGATGACAAGAATGACACCATAACTGTCATTCTGTCTACACTGCATCAAAAACTTGTAAATAACCATGTACCTGCATAGCTACCATTAGAAGAAGCATACAGCTGACCTGAGCCCCGCCTGCAGTCTGGAGTGAAGCCCTTCTGAGCCTGGCTGCATTCCACCAGATCCCAGCTGATCCACAGCCTGTGACTTTTCAACCTCTCAGTTTAAGGGCTTATAAAGACGTTATTGCAGCTATACAAGGTGCTACAGTTTCTCTGACTGATGTGTATCAGTTCTTTACATGGTAGACATTTGATTAGCCTATTTCAGTTTCTTAACAATTGCTCTTAAATTTTATGATTTTTGCATATAGAAATTTAACTTTTTTTGTTTTTTGGTACTGGGGATCGAACTCAGGACCTTATGCTGTGGAACCACTGAGCTAAATCCCCAGCCCAAAATTTAAGTATCTTTAGTTAAAGCTTTCTTTTCCTTTGTGATTTTTCTCCCACTGCTTTACTTGACACTTCCCATTTTTAATGATCACTTTCTAGGATCTTGATAGCTTATCTCTATTATTTACACGTATTTACTACGGTTTTTGGCCCAGCAGTTTCCATTTTCATAATGCATAGAATGACCAGAATAATCCTCCTCACCAAAGTCATAAAGATAAAAGGTGATTATGCTAATAATAAAAATAATACCACCATTTATTACATGCCTGTTCTAGATGGAATGTTATGTCCCCCCAGAATTCATATGTTGAAACCTAACCCTAATGTAATAATATCTGGCACTGGGCCTTTGGGAGGTGACCATGTCAGGAGGAGAAAGCCCTCATAAACAAGTTGGGTGTCTTTGAAAAGGGACCCCAGAGAGCTAAATTGCCCCCCCCCCGTGAGAACCAGGAAGCAGGGCCTCCCCAGACACCGAATCTGCCCACACTTTAATTTTGTTCTTCCCAGCCTTCAGAACTATGAGAAAGAAATTCCTGTTGTTTATAAGCCATCTGGTTTATGGTATTTGCCTACCATGAGCCATGCAATATGGTGTTTCACATGAGTTATCCCAGTTCATGTTCACTGTAATTCTGCAAGTTGTATATAGTCAACCCATTTTATGAATAAGGAATCATAGATTCAAATAATTTTGTTATGATGATTTATTAGGCCCCCTCCCCTTTTTGAGACAAGGTCTTGCTATGTGGTTCAGGCTGGCCTTAAACTCACTATGTAGCCCAGGCTGGCCTCAAACTCACAGCAGTCCTCCTGCCTCTGCCTCCTAAGTGCTGGACGTACAGGGGTGCACCACCATGCCCCGCCTCATTAACTATTTTACAGATGAGCAAATTGAAGAACATAGAGAGATTAAATAACTTGATCAGAACCATGCAGCTAAGGAAGTGGGTCAGCCAGAATTCAAACGAAGTTCTGACTCCAGAGTAGCCTCTTTTAAAATTAATTAATTAATCTATTTATTTATTGTTTTTTGAGACAAAGTCTTACTATGTAGCCCAGGCTGGCCTTGAACTCAAAGCAATCCTCCTGCCTCAGCCTCTTGAGTGCTGGGATTACACACATGTGCCACCATGACCAGCTAGAGTTGCCTCTTTGCACTGAGCCTTTCAGAAGACAGAATCACTAACATTGTTAAAAATCTAGAAAAGTGTACTGGATTTTTCTTTTTATTCCTTCCTTCCTTGTTTTCATGGCAGGGGCGGGGGGAGTTGCAGTAATGGTGGAGGGAGTCTGATGGCTCAACTGGTCAAGTTCTGCTAAATTCTAAAAGCACTTCATTAACCATATGTTCTCTATGTATAAGTAGTATTTTGGCTAGAGAATATGTACTTCCTTATCTGTAAAAATATTAAACCTTACAATTAAGATTTAATAACAATAGCTACATTTAAGTGTTTTGTTTTGGTTTGGTTTTTTTGACACAGGGTCTCACTTTCTACTCCAGGCTGGCCTTGAGCTATGTAGCCCAGGCTGGCC